TACGTGAAAAAAGAAACGAATCAAAAACCACAAACAGAGCCGTAGTCCCACAGGAAATCAATAACAGCGTTGTATTGTATCTTGTTTCTTCTCAGTGTGCATAATGAGTGAGGGGCAAAGCGGAAATTTTGCTCAAACATGTTTTAAAACCACCTTCGCTAAATCAGGACCGAAAGAAAAAACGCGTTTAGAACTGAGGCCAGGATTTCTTTATGAGAACTAATTTTAAAAGAATATAAGACCTCAACAAAGTTTTCTTTCTTATGTGGTAACTCATTTCCAAGTCAATCTTAGTGAAAGTAAGTTTGCATAGAGTTTTTCCGCAATATTCAACACCTCAAGTCTACTGCACGATAACAGAACAGAGCTGAGTCGAATCAACTCCGAATGGGAAACCCATTTAATCTGTGATTTTCCACACAACTAACAATCTCTCCTAAGTTCAAGACATAACGTTAGCCGCAAATGAGAACTCGCTGTGACGAAATAATTCAATCAAAACATTGACAATCATTACTTACTTCTCACAATTCCCAGGGTCGGCCATTATCTTCCTATGCAAGCCGCGTGAAAATCCCTATGGATTATATGCTGGAATAGAGTTCTACAAAATAGTAGCTGTAACGAAGAATCGATTGGCTTCTAGTTTTCTTTCCTCAACCCGTTTACAATGAGTGAGTACAAAAATTAACGCATACACGTATGCAGATCAAGGCTGAAGTGCACAAAAATCTCGACGGTGATTGGTCAATTTGCAGCAAGCCTCACTTTGGAAGTGAATTCTTCACATGCTTGAGATAAGTATCCTTTCACCGCTGCTTCAAGATTTTTTTTTTTTAAACATTGTTTACCAGAAAATCCCAAATATGCCTCTAGACGCACATAAGAGCACGCATATATTTGAAAAACAGGTCATATCAGCAGCGAATGCAGTTAAATTCTTATTCCTTCTATACTGCTATCTTCTAACTTGACACGCGAGAATTCTCAGGTCCAAGATAAAAAACAAAGGTGCGAGAGATCACGACGAACCCTACGATCTGTACAAAAGAGAATTTGTATTGAAATCTTGACATATCTGTATAAAAGGTTCTTATCCACTGCATGAAATACGATCCAAAGTTAAATTTTTCCGAAACTTTAAATAGAAAATCATGGGTAACAGAATCATATGCTTTTTCGAAATCTATAGCAACCAAGATTCCAGAGCTATTTGTCATTCCCAAACTATCCTCGGTGGTCTACACTGCATCAAACACAGATCTTCATCCCACAAATCCATTTTGATTGTAATGAATACTTTCGACTATTTTCACCAACAAATATTTTCTTAATGCAGCTCTTTTCCTTTTTGTTATTTTTTTTAGATTAAAAAAAAATTATTCCCCAGGAAGCCGTAGTCTTAGAAAATATCCAAGTTGATCACGTTTTATTTTGGTAGTGCGCAGAAACAATTAACAAAATAGATATTTCTTCGTCGGACCGGCAAGGTTTTCATGATATGAACTTTTTTAATTGGGCGGAAACTTGTGAAAGAAGGCGCGGTGAGAACAGAGCAAAATTAAACAAGAGCAAACAAGATATCTTTGGAATACCAGCTGTATTTTTTTCTCAGTAACGCGGCACGAGGGTAAATTGTTGAATTTTGGGAGGTTCATTTGCATAGAAGAGGAGTCGGTATCTTTCCGTTTCCAACATTTCATTTGCATATGCGTAAGAT